TCCCACCAGACACATAGTGCCTCCATTTTATCTACTTAATCCCATTATTTAAACAAGGTCTCAGGTACTAGAGGTGAAGTAATTTTGAATAAGAAAAAGGAGAAAGACGAAGATCAGGTTGATGACTCTGTAAGATAGAGATCACTAGACTGGGGGATTCAACAAAGGTCGAAGATAAGATTTCGGTCTAAACTAGGAAGTAATGACAGATTGTCGGATTGGGGTGATCAGCGCCTTACAAGTAGGATATATTGGGGAAAGATAAAGGAAGTATAATAAAGAGCCTATGAGTAAATGGGAGAAAATGTAGTGAAGAATCATCGAAAGAAGCAATTGATATAAGCCACAAAGTGCTCAGACGGCAAGAATCTCCAGTTGGGCTGTCCGATAAGCTGAGCTATACACTGTTCTGCCGCCCGCCGTCTGGCCACTTCATCAGAGCCGGCGCCGGTCAGACGATCAAGACAGTAGTGATAATCATCCATGGAGCCACTAGCAGCAGATACATTCCTTGGTGGAGGAGGGGGAGCGCCGATACCACAAGAGGCCATGTCGACAATGAGGCGACGCAATCGAGAACGATTATAAAATGTCACTGATTCTCCAATCGCGATATAAAGCCGACAGAGAGTGATCAGACTCACCAGATGGAATTTCAGACCACTTCCACCAAGGCATATAGAGGAAAGATGGGGCAACTCGGAGAACAGTGATATCAAGTTAGAGTCAACAGTAACTGGGGTGTATGAATAGCAGGTATTTGATCCTGCAGAATTATCAGTGAACATCGGATTTGAAAGCTGGCATTTGTCATGACCGACACCAAGTGGGCCAGGACTTTCCTCGTCCTCCTCCTGAAACCAATAGAAAAATACAAAGCAATTGATCAACAGTTACAGCTTATCAATGCTGTAACTCTGTACTTACAATGGCGCCTCTCACTGACGATGCCGGCGAAAGGTTCGGGAATGTACCCAGCCAATGGTTCAGTGCTGGAAATCATGAATACTATAGCAGAGGACATGGGGGTAGGTACGTTCCACATGGTCTCCCTGACGCTCCGAGCAAGTTGCGAAAACAAGGTCGGACCAACATTTCAAAGTTAAAGGAGACTATGACCTGATAGAAAGCCACAAAATCTTGATCGTTATATCTACGATATAGAAAGGAAGGCTAATCATGAGGGCCCTTAATACCAAACGACTTACCACTCCTGAAATGAGATTATTTCGTAAATATTAGTTGTGTATCTGAAAAGGTGGTAACTTGTGATCGTTTTACCGTTCAACGAATATATCTACGAAAGATTCGACCCAGATTGAACGAGCTATGATATAGGAAGCGCAAATACTAGACACATCTTTGATGGGTTTCGATACGTTCAAAGCATTTAAATCCAGATTGATTGGCGATTGCATAGCATAGGTGATGATTCGCTTTGTCTATAAATATAACCAGCCCTTCATGAAGACGTATCCTTAAGCAGAGTAGGCATGATGAAATGGAAGATTAATGCAAAGTTATACCGAAAGCTCCAGTAAGCTCTAAGCCGTAATTGATCACAAGGCTCATTTTAATGTGAATCAATGTGCTGAGCAAAAATAACGCCAGATGCTTGTTCATTTATATTCTTTTAATATTATATATGCACTATGAAAGTATGAACTTAGAGACAGCCCGATTAGTTAAAATGTGTGATCTGAATAACCTGCTGTTTTGGGCTAGTTACAAGTTATTACAAATTACTCTGGCTACAACAGACTTAATATCTCTCCATTACAATAAGGGGTAACTTTTTTAGATCTCAACCACTCACAAATAAATCAGGAGATCCTAAAAAATGCGAGCCTGC